GTCAGCGCTTTTCCTCATCACGCAGTCAGTGACAAGACCGAGGAGCATTGATGAAAGGACGACGCTTGTCTCGCATCATTTCTGCTTTCAAACTGACCAAATAGTTCGTCATATACCTGTAACCGTACACGCTCTGTAACACGATTACTAGTTAAAATGGAATGCCGTAATATGTCGCAGTTTTACTCTATTATTCATAAGCTTGTCAGTGCCTAAGACTCAACATTGCTTGTGCATGTTTATGTTTGCACCGTGACATCGATGTAGGCTAAGGCTTAGTCCGGGATGCGATGAAAACCACGCATTGCTTTGTGGACTGGAGAGCAGATTAGTTTCATATCCATATCGGTATGGACGCATTACTACTCTTCGAGGTAACATATATAGATCTCTTTCTGCCTAAGCATAAGAAAGAAGGTTAATAAATCTCCACAAGTCTTTGACGGTCGCAGAGTCTGTTTAAATACAGTAAATACTAGAAATTTTCAAGTTACACGGGACATCAAGTATAAATTTATTCCTTGCATATGATAACTGGAATTTTAAGTGTAAATGTCCAAGTTGAAGTCTAAATATCTTTATGCCCATTAATTACTGTTAATTACTATTTATGCTCATTAATTATATTTGTGTTGACTGTAACAATTCTATATTTAGGATTTATCTCAAAATTACAGATATTCAAGTACGTGTATTTGTGGCTACTCCCTTTAGTCAGGGTGCGAACGTAAAACTGAAGTCGCTATTCGCTATCTTTTCATTGTGAAGTCGCTCACTCGGTAAAGCCCAGATGTTGTAGGCGAAAGATACGCCGGATCTAGTCGTCGTATTGTGTTATTCGTTTTACATCCTGCCAAAATAAGTAGACAGAAACATTTCATGAGAAAGAAATGGAATGATGCACACTCAGATGTCACGTGCACCGCTGTTGACATTGCCTTCGTAAGTGAGGTGCTTCTGGGTCTTAGTATGGAAACGGAGGTCACTGCTGCACCTCTAGCTTTGTAAAGCTAGGGTATCACAGGTAGTCTTTTCTGTCTCTTCTCTCGACTGGTTGGAATTCCAGTGAAAAACATGAGTCAGATCAGTAAATACGACCTGACCAGAACTGTTCACTGTAGGGCTTCAGTCACTAATGAAGTTAATGAATTGAAAGCGCACAGAACGCCTAAATAACATGAGGCTTGCCGCCGATATTGTATTCATCGTGGCATGCAACCTTTTTGCCTTGAAGAAAGCAAGCAAACCAGTCTGGCATCGATTTCGCGACACCCCAGTACCTGTATGAAAAATAGAAAAGATGGAGATTATCGTTAACTACATATATCCGAAACAAGAGTCTTGCATGTGGCACAACATGAAGAGAGGACTTTGGAGGAAAACAATTTGTCGGCTGTTGTGCTACAGTGCTGTTCGTTACATCCTTTATGGACAACTCCAAGTCATAATTAAAAGTTAGCTTTTCTGTACTACCGCGTTGTTCGCTGTGCTCTATCAGATGAAACCTAGAGAGATTAAGAGTAGCTCGTCGTCTAAAAGAGAGCTGTAGAAAGAATAAGAGATAGGGCATCTGCATAAGAGACCGAATAATAAATGAACTGGTCCGTCATGTGGTTGGAACGTGCTGCGGGCAAGAGAGAACAGACCTAAAATGGACCAGTCAAGTTGCGCGGTAAGCCACAACCGATAGACCGCGGAAGTTTACTGTAACTGAATGATATCCGAAGCACATAAAGGTACCAGTGTCGATCTCCGATGAGGTTGAAAAATTCGATAGTGATAGATTCGAGGTATTGCTTACAGGCGAAGACGGCGCAACAAAGAAGAATGACTTAGACATTATCTCTAGCATCTCCAATACGATTGAACAACATATCGATAAAGGTGATTATAGGTGGCTCCCAGTATCAAAATATGAGAGAGGGCAGCATATCAGCGGTTTCCGACTTCTTTCCGTACTTTGCACTGAACTATTTTGTTAACGCAAGATTATCTACTTTTTACTAGTATGACAAAAGTATTAGCATCAAGTCGAATAAAGCCAATGGGCGTTCAATTGGCTCCACCAACTCTTTTGTCTCACGGAGCCCTAGCTGAACCTCAAAGGATACCAAACCGGTTCTGTATAACAATATCGCAATTCGAACAGGGAAAGGGTTAAATCGCCTTCCCTTATCACAGAAATCCTTTAGCTTTGAAAAACTGTATATCTTAACGGGTGTTTCGTTGACGCCCTTATGACAAGTCGACTGTGAGTGGAATAAACACAGTTGTAACTCTGATTGCACCAAGATTTTGCACGAGTACAGAACTCTGAACTAGGGTCCCTCTCCCGTACACACACTTAGGAAATTTTGCGGTGAAAGGATGTTGAAGAAAAGTTTGTTTCTTTATTCGGATATGCGTCACGTCGTTAAAGTTTTTCTTTGGAAGTTGGACCGATGCAAAATGTGGCGTTTGTTTTTCTGCTCGCTTCGACTTTCACTTAATTACGGTTTATTTTTGGCAGCTTTTCTGTCTCTGCTGTGGCGCTTTCGGTTTCAGCCATTGATCCGTCACTGAAGAAGGGATGTTAAAGCCCGCTGTGTAAACAGCGTTCCGACTTTGCAAACAATCGCCTCGCACCTGCACCGCGGATTCGCGCGTCCGCGTTTGTGTTGTCCGTGTATCCCGCGATGAACTACGGCGGTCGTCTCGGGCGCCGGCCACCGCTGGTCATTCAGAGACGTCCGTCGATGACCGCAATTTATTACCGTTGAAATTTTTTTTGACGAGCTGAATTTTATGTTCTGTGACCACGTGCTCCTTTTGCAGTGTCGAACGCGTGATGCCTAAAGCCGTCGTTTGCCTTTCCGTTCGTTGTGTCGTTGTTTTTGTGCCGTTGGCCGTCGTCTAGAAATCCGTCTACATTCTCATCAATGACCGAATCCAGTGGCGGTGTGTGCATCTCGGCGCCGGGCAAGATCATCCTCTTCGGCGAACATGCCGTCGTTTACGGCCGAGTAAGTATTTCGTTCAGCTTCTCTGTTCGTCTCTTCATTAGGCTGCGTTGCTCATTTCGACGAGAAAATTCATTGCAAACTTTCAGGTTCACAATTCACAACTTTAAGTAATCCCATTCTAAAACATGAGCAGTCGTTGAAAGCTGTTTTACACAGTAAAATGCACTATACGAAAATGAAGTGTTCTTCGGAATTTCAAAAAATATCAGAGTTGTACTAAGCTTTGCACTCATCCCCTTTCTTGAAGCCGTTTGGGAAGGAGGGGGACATTTAAGTACGTCTCTGGGCTCCATGGTATTTGAATACCTGCAAGGCATATGACATCACTTAATTGGGTCGAACGAATACCAGTAAACACTTGTTATCCATGAACAAATAAGCAGAGTATTTAGTAGAATACGTCATATTTCCGTCTTTCTTACACGGTCGCAGCATCGCTGTAAATAAATAATTTTATGGCTTTCGTTCTGTAAATCTGGTGTCAGCAGGGAAAAAAATGTATCTGTCTACGAAAACCGTCGGAAAGCTGCGTTTTCTAATGGCTACCCTCGGAACATCGGGGTTACATTATTTCGACAAAATCGCGGATAATAATTTTCACATAAAGGTTTTGTTCTCTTTTGATTTAGTTGGAATATCGTATTACCTAACGTTATTGAATAAGATGCATAATTTATGTACTCTGAAGACGGACCGAGCTTGGTCCGAAACGTCAGATGGCCCTGATTAAAAAATATTTTATGCGTTGTCTTCCGTTTTTGATTTACCAAAGCATCATTACCTAAGATTATTAAAATATCAGTTGTCGAAATTATGTTTTCAGCTTCATGTTTTTAACATTTAGTAATTTCATGACAGAACATTTAGAAATTTTCGAGAATAAGAATATATCAAAAGGCATTTATTGAAACTCGTTGTTACTGTTAAGAACAAGGACAAGAATAAAACTAACTTCACTGCCATTCTATTTATTCCTAAGCTCTGTAAAAGAATCAATCAGCACCTGGAGAATAAAGGTTTCGAAATCTAATAATAAGTGAACGATTCCTCATTGAAATCGCAGATTTGTCAAAACTTCATCAACCTAAGTGCACAATATACGAATGCTGTTCAGAAGTTCTAGTGCAGTAATTGTCACAAGAGCTACGTCAGGGAAACAATACGAAGATTGTACTAAACCTCTGCGGAATGGAAAAATAGAGCATTCCGATTTCTAGCTTTCTACTTCAAAAATTCCTGACTAGTAATATTTCAGTTGATAGAAAGATAGCATCAGGCTATTAGTTAAAGAATCGTTGCATATGTTGGCTGGCAAAAACCGAATGTGTAAGGAATGTACGAGCTCGTTTAGTTTGAGTGACGGCTAAAATTTCCTCTACCAGCTTGTTCTCAAGAATTATTGGAACAAACGTTATTGTCAGTCAGAATTTATATAACTGTTTTCATAAGATCATATGTGTTGTGTTTGTGTAGCATTACGTTGAGGTTGGTAGGAGCAGCTGGTACAGGGAATTTACTTGCTACCAGGGATATGAACTTTGCCGCAGCAACCAACATCGTCTAAATCATTCTGAGAAGCCATAGTAGCAGACATCATTAATCTCGATCCTGATACCGTATGACGGTGACAACATACATCCTACATACCCAGATGATGAAGCTGTTGCGTGACGTGGAAGTGTCAGTAAATAAAGGATTTTACATGATCATTTTCATTTTGTATTTTTTTGAACTGTAAATCAGCAGCGAAGGCCGTTAATCTTTCGTAGGCTGTATTCAGTAAAGTCAATGCTTGTGAGCAACAAAAATTATATATATATGGATATATATATATCCATGCCCTGCCTCATCTTGTAGAAACCCACACTCTTTGTGCAGCTAATTGCCGAAGACGACCATATCGTAATTCCCACTGTTTGCAGTTAACGGTCTTAGAGTTTGATGATCGTCGTCTTGAAGAACCACTAGTAAATTGAGTTGGCGATCTTGTTGAAAGGCAGTGCCTACAGGATGACGTAGCCATAGATCGGTTATCGGCAGACATGGGCGAATAGTCGAAATTTAGGCAGAGAAATTCAAAATCAAACACCTAAGATTGGGGTTGTTTATATTGTTCACAGATGTTAAGTTAATTAATTGAAATTTTTCGAAAATTTTAATTTCGAAGAACGGAAGAGACAAGACACAAAATTCAACTGAAGCCTTCCAGTTGTATAGCCATTGACATGCAAAATTTTGAAAATATAGAAATATATTTATTCAGGATATGCAGCGCCCGTGATCGCTGTGCTGCTGTTTGTTTTGATCACTACCTTCAACTAAGAATTGCTGTCCATTTTTAGCTACAGTTATCACACAAAGAAAGCTTACACGTTATTGACAGCATGGCAAGAATAGTGAAGCCAGTTTCAGCATTGTGACCGCCACCTCCGCATCACAACAGAAGCAAACAAAGGTTCCGAACCTGCAGAGCAGTCACCGGCTCTCTGTCCGTCGTGCCCTGAAACAGCTGCCAGTATTGCGAGTAAAATAATGCGGATCCCACTGCTGTGATTTTTCCCGGGCTGTTAGCTTGCGACTACAAGGCATTACGTTGGTCCCTAGAAATTGTTTCAGGGTTGATCGGCTTGCCGCTAAACGACGAGGCGTTGCTTGTTGTACAGTCAGCGTTCTCGCGGGAAACATTCTATTTAACAACACACTACGTTCACTGCTCACTAGCCTCTCATAGTGTTTGTCCACCGTATGTCCACGCTTTCACAATTTATCAACATCTCAGCGAGGACCGAATTATTTCGACGGTCGTTCATTTCAGCCTCAGAACTCATTCTCAGAAATCCCCACCCCGTTATACAGCTCTACCTGACTTTGTTGGATATGACAAAGCTTTTATTCATGCTTTGTGTTGCCAAATTCATCATGTCATTCTGCTGGTTTCTTATTAAATTGCTGTTCTGTGATATTACAAAATGCATCTTAATTTTTTTCTTTCATTCTGTAATATATCCTTCTTTTTCTATGTGATCTATAATGTTTCGTTTATTTTGCCTTATGCTGAAAAATGGTGTTCGTTGATGGCGCTCTTCGACCAGTTACGTCTTAATCGTTAAGCAGTGAACGGCACCATAGAACGGAGTGCGTTGTCATCCGTAATAGATACCCTCGTACCCACGGTTGAGTCATCGAGCGTGAACCTGGCTCGCCGTTTGTGGTGCGTGTTGTACTGGATCCAAGCTAGACGAGCCACTACATTTGTTTGTGTGTTTTACTGCTCGAACAGAGGATGAAGCACACCCG